ATCAAATTTAATATGATTCGTGTTAATTTATTAAGTGCTCCTTTAAGTGACACCTTTCGGAAATAGATTATTTAAAACATAAAAATTTTTACGTCAATGACGTCAATATAAACACGTTTTATATTTTAATTATATGAGGATTTTGACCTTTTATTATAAATAACGTTTATATCTGAGTTTACAAATTATATAGATCGTGATATTAAAAGAAAAGTTGTATAATGGAAACGATTTAAGTAATATAATGAGTAATGAGAGAATCTAATAAAACAAAATGGTAAAAGTACGTGGGCAATTTGAAAAATTCGCGACTTATTGTGATGTAAAAATGTATTATTTAAATTGACAAATTCAAAATTCAAAAATGATTTATTGGGTCTGGTTAAAAATGAAGTGTACAAAATTAGAGTGAACTCTCGAGAGGCACTAATTCGACGTATCATGATCATATCAAGAAAGACATGCAGCAATCAGGAGAGTTTACAGACGCCCTTCGTGACGAAACACAAAGTGTTTAGTGGTCAATGGTGGTGTTTGTGAACATTTAATCAAAGAACGCTATGATTAATATAATATCAGTACATTTTTATTTGTATTGAAACGTACGTCTTAGGAAACAAATGAAAATCGCATAAAAACATTTGAGTTTTTTCTTATAATTTCGACGTATAGAAGCCATTCATGGAATTTGGTGTGTTTCTCACGACTCACCCTGTATAATATGCACGTCTTTAAATATTTGAGGAAAGTAGTAATGGTGATACATAGTTTTCAAAACAAAATAAGATAAACTAAGTTTTCATCCATGTTTTTAAAGTAAATTACACAGATCAACATTTAGTTTGAAAAAAAACACCAGACTCTACCTAGGTACCTGGCGGTTTTTGGAGTCGCTGATTCCGATGCCGAGGTCGGCTAAGTTCTATCACGTCAGGTTCAAGGTCATTTGAAAGTCAAAACTAAGAAAAGGTGGTTGAAAAAAATCTGAAAAATTCATACATAGGCCTTTTGGGTCGCTGAGTCTGAATCCGATGTCGGTTGACCTCTGTCGCCTCATGCTCAAGGTCGTTTGAAGGTTAAAGTAGCAATAGTAGATGACAAAAATTGGAAAGAAATTTTACGAATGCCCACCTGCCTACTTTTGTATCTTTATCCGTCTGCCTTTTTATCTGCACACCTGTTTGTTTGCTTGTTAGTCTGTATGTATCTTGCGCTTGTATTTTCTCTCTATCTATTTACCTGATATCCGGCCTTTCTACCTGCCTTTCTGTCGGTAATTTTGTCTATCTTCCTGTTTGCCTAACTGACTAAATGTTTTTATCTGTCTGTTTTTCTGTCACCCTCTGTTTAAATGTCATATGGAACTTAAACTTCATTTTCTTCATTTTCATCTTGATTGGTTCCCAGAAAATCTGGGAGCTTTTAGTGAAGAACAAAGAGGAACAATGCACCAGGATCTGAATGAGTTTGAACAAAGATATCAAGCTGTTTGGGGGAAGAATATGTTAGCAGACTTTTGTTGAAACCTAAAGAGAGACACAAATAAAGCACAAGAAAAGTTATCGAAGATAATTCAAGCGTTTTCGCCAGAATTTCGATTAATACACTTATGCTGAGAGAAGCGAATTGATTTGTTGAAGGCTTTCAAAAGTTCTTTTTAACCTAGTGTTTGTACAATCACGCAAAACCGAGAGAGGATGGTAGGCAGAAAGGTAAGAAGACAAACTGACAAGGAGGCAGACAGACGGTCAGTGGACATTTAGACAGAGGGTGGCAGAAAAACATTTAGTCATTTAGTCAGACAGGAAGATAGACAAAATTACCGACAGAAAAGCAGGATGTCAGATAGATGGATAGGGAGAAATTATAGGCGGATGATAAATACAGTCTAATAAGCAAACAAACAGGTGTGTATGCAGGTAAAAAGGCAGTCAGAGAAACAGACAAAAGTAGACAGGTTTGTAACAATTTTTTCCAATTTTTTTACCACCTATTCTTACTTCAAACGACCTTGAACATGGGGAGATAGAAGTCAACCTACACGGATTCAGATTTTTTCAATAAACTTTTGTTAGTTTGACCTTTAAATGGCCTTGAACCTGACATGATGGAGATTAACCAACCTAGGTATCGGAATCAGCGACCCCAAAAACTCCTGGGGCCCTTGGTAGTGTCCGGTGTTTATTTCCAAACTAAATGTTGCCTGCGTTATTAAAGCGTACCTACGAGGGTGGTCTGAAAAGTTCCCGACCTCAACATGAAGATAGCAGCACTCTTAAATAAAAGCTAGTGAATTTCGTTGTTCATCTGTTGACAGTTACTCACCAAAGTTTCAGCCATTTTGGACGCGCAGTTGTTATGTAACAGTCGTTTGAGTGAGTTGATGTGAGTGTTTTTATGAAAATGGACAAAATCGAGTATCGAGCTTTCATTAAATATTTGAATAATTATTTTGCAGAGAAAAACGCCGAGTACTACTTGGACGGGTTACGGAGATGGGAGCATCGCTGGGAGAAGTGTGTAGAGTTACTAGGAGACTATGTTGAAAAATAAAAAAAAAAATTCAGAAAAAATGTCTTGTATCTTTGTTAGGTCGGAAACTTTTCAGACCACCCTCGTACAGTTATTCAAACGTTTTATGATTTTGCAGTTAATCCGAAACGATAATAAATTTTCTTAAAGTACTTATGAATTCAGATAACGAAGTTGGTTTCAATTAAAAGTTGAAACACTATGAAAAAAATCCTCAAACACATGCGCTTGTTTATAATGCAACAAGGTGCATATAAATTGACAGCAAATTGAAGTGATTCATGTTATTTGCCAGGCAAATAACTCAATTATGCTAATGCCACGATGTGGACGTAATTAATGGATTAATTCTGATCTGGTTACAGTAGACTTGCTTTTCATAATGAGCCTTATTAGAAACGTAATCATCAGTACTTACGTAATATAATTTAATTATGTCATTCGTAAATATGTGGTCGTATGTAGTATTATTTTTACGAAAAGTTAGGAACATAGATGAAAATCATAAGTTTTATAAAAATTGGAATTTTTTAAAAGGTGTGTTCAGATGGATAGATTTAACATTTCCTTAAGTACCTTTAATTGTTGAGAAATTAGAGCAAAATAATGAGAATTAGATACCAATTTCCAGAAAATCGTGCGATAAAAATATGGATATCTCTTTTCTTAGAATTCAAATGGTTGATGGTAGCTCAGGTAAGACTATATGGAATCATTCTTTAATTATACAACTCTGCGCATATTAATTGTAGGTATCCTGTTGAGTCATACAACTTTACAAATCAAAATTGTCACTTATTTTTTTTATGTGTAATAATTAATTTTGCAATTTTCCGGAAAAATAAAAATACCACATATGTTATATACCTACTTGGTAATGTAATAATTTACAGGGTGTTCAATTAAAATAATAATAAGTTGTATGCGCCACATCGATATTTAAATTTGGATAGTTTTTTGTTGGTACAAACAGAAACTTCATAAAAACACTACAACTTTTACTTCAACAATATTTTTAGATCTGCAGAACCGAAATAAGTGGGGTGGAAAAGTGGGACACCCTGTGCTTACAATCATTGTATTAACAAATAAATTAACCCATCCCTACTGACCGTTATCATTATATTTTGAGTATATTGTTTTAATGAAAAATGCACATTAATTACACAGGTCAACATTTGATCTAGGGACAATCGCCAGAAGTGACTATGGTATATAGGAGTTTTTTGGGTCACTCATCACGAATCAGAGGTCGTTTAAGCTCCATCAAATCAGGTTCAAGGTGATTTGAAGGTCAAATCAAGAAATGACCACAAAAAAATCTGAAAAAATTCATGCTTATGTTTTAGAGGTCACTGAACCCGAATCCGAGATTTGTTTACCCCTACGATACACCCTAGAGGTCATTCCAAGGTCATTCATTAAGTATTTTGGATAGAAAAGTTAAAATCAGTCTGAAAAATCTGATAAAATTCGTCTGAATGTTTTTGGGGTCACTGAACGCGAATTCAAGGTTATTTAAGTTCCATCACGTCAGGTTGAAGGTGATTTGAAGGTTAAATTTAGAAAAAGTTGTGTAAAAAAATTTAAAAAGTGTATTGAAATGTTTTCGGAGTCACTGAGTTGATCTGGAGATTATTAAAGGTCTTCAAAGAGTTTCCATCTGTCTACGTATAACCATCTACACGTTTGCATGGAGATATAGTCTCTTTTTCTGTCGGTTTACTTTCCTTCTACTATTCTGATTAAGAAAGTTGGCATATGAACTATTTCTATGTGTTATGGTTTTTTCAAATTTTCTAAACTCATTTTCAATTTGACCATCAAATGACCTTGTCCCTAAAACTATAACACAAGACAACCGACCCCAAATTTGAAATTAGCAAACCACAAAACCTCCGTAAGCGTTTTTTAAAATTTTTTAATCGCCATTTTCCAGTATCACCTTGAACGTCCTCTGAATGACCTCGGTACAATAGGTAAGTCCTTGTAGACGAAACTAACAGCGAATTCGAACTTAGTCAATCCAACATCACTTTACTGTATCTTTTCTGTTTTTTTACAAAACTTTTTCTCGATTTAACCATCAAATCACCTTGAACCCGACGTGATGGAGCTTAAATAATCTTGGATTCTCGTTCAGTGACCTCAAAAACATTCAGACGAATTTTTTCAGATTTTTCAGACTGATTTTAATTTTTCTATCCAAAATACTTCATGAATAACCTTGAAATGACCTTGAATGACCTCTAGGGTGTATCGCAGGGATCGGATTCAGGTTCAGTGATCTCTATCAGCGACTCAAAACATGTACCTATGTACCATAGTCACTTCTGACGATTGTCCCTAAATCAAATGTTGATCTGTGTTATATTATATTCAATTATTAAAAGTATTATTTAAAATCATACTCATTATTTTTTCTGTATACTTTTAAGCATAATACTCAACACTTTTTCATATTTCAGTGCGATTGCAGCGACCAGTACTGTGAGGACCAGAAGCGGCGGTCCGAGATCTGCCGCCCCCAAGTGATGAAGACCATGAACGCTCCCGTTGTGTCCTGTAGGATCGCCCAGTGGATCTGCGGCGCCGACGCCCTGTGCTCGACGGCGCTTGACTACTACAACCGCTTCTGTAAGGCTATGTTCCACGGGAAGAAGTGCACCATGCGCTGCAACAACTCCATCAGCATCCTCAGAAGGCAGGAGAAGGCGGCCAAGTTGCAGACGTGCAAGTGCGACGGCCTGGAGGACTACGACTGCTACGCCATACAGAGGAATATGGACAAACTGTGTTTCCATAAACATTCCAGGCACCACAATAAAACTCATCACGTACCTGAGGATGTGGTACCTACGGTAGTTCTTGCCAGTAGTGGAGTGAAATTAAGTTTCAGTTCGGTAACGGTACTCTTCTTCTTGACAGTCGCAGCAGTGGTATGAGCTTCGGTTAGTCAAGGTGTACTTTTCATCTACCTCGTTCCAAATATGTATTATTTATTTATTTTGTAAATTCGATGTGATGTTAGTACTATTACGACCAAACGGGAAGGGATGACAAAACGGTAATACTAACCCCTGTTTCACAGCTGACAGCACGCCAAGCATCAGCGTGCGGATGATTGACATTGTTTAAATTGCAGCTTTCACGTAACTGTTAAATCAGCAGCGCTGGAGTTTTCCGGGTACTGTCATTTGCAAGTCGACAAGTTCTTTTTGCTACTGCTCCTCATCTCATACTCATAATACGAATATAAACGAAGACCATTAGCTTGCCGATCATTAGCACGCTGACGGGTTAGCTCACATTGATAAGTTATTGAATAAGCATTTAGATATGACTACAGCTATTGATATTTTTTCTCGGAAATCATTTTTCTACTGCTCGTCAGCGGTTTTATATGAAATGAAGTACAATTCATTGACCATCAGCGAGCTGGCCATCTGAAACGGGGTTAGACATTTTTGTCTAAGCGGTTGGAGCGTTAACAATTTACTTTTGTGTTGAGATCCGTGGGTTCCTATTATTACAAGTAAAAAAAGATTATTAACTAATTAGCAATTCTCTAAAATTGCTTCTTACAAATTAAAAATGAAGTTACCCAAACTGGAAAAATAGAAGAGAAATAATTATATTTTAATTTTTGATAAAGTTTTCGCCTTCATTAGGACCAAAGAACATTGTACCTTGTAATTAAATCCCATTTTAATATATTTCAGCAATTTATCGCATCAAATGTTTTATGTTTTATTCTTACAAAAAATATAATGGATAATTCGTAAAACACAGCTACGAAAATATATTTACCTACGACCACTACTGTAAGTACTTAAAAACACACTGTCTGCGATCAATATAAGATTCCTATTACGTACGGTAAAAAAAACGCACAGTTTTCCTAGCAACTGCCTAGCAACGGCCAATACAATATTGTTTGTATTGACCGTTGCTAGGCGGTTACTAGGAAAACTGTACGATTTTTTTACCAAGCTGTGCGATTTTTTTACCGTACGACGTAATAGGAATCTTGCATTGATCGCAGACGGTATGTTTTTAAGTATTTAAAGTAGTGGTCGTAGGTAAAGTATAGTACGTAATACGTGATGTAATGCAATTACACACTCAGAATTACGCACTCGCCGCTACGCGGCGTCGTGCGTAACTTTTCCATTCGTGCGTAAAATGCTTTTTACAACACTTATTACGTAATATACTATTTTATGGGGTGAATAAATCATCGACAGTTTCTATCATCTCGTAAATCTTGTGAAGAGTAAAAATATTTCACACCTCTGTAAAAATTATTTATAGTTACCAAATAAAAATCAGATTGAATGTATGATTTCAACCATAAAATAGATAATCTAAAAGCTATAGTTTTAGTATTTCCTTTTACTAAAACATCACCCTTGGTCACCAAAGGAAAATAATGACTTTATAATGCAGTTCTATAGTTCCTAATATATTTTACAGTTCAAATAAATTAAGCCATCCTAAACGCTTTGTTCAAACCTGTTCTTTGACAGTTTTAGGCAGTACCTAAGTTTGGTCCTTGATCAAAGCTGAAATAAAAGGTTTTTAGTTTGAAATTTGTATACGATAATTTTGTAAAATATATGTATATTTGAGGTAAAATTTATTACTGAAATTTCTATATTACAAAATTTATTTTGAAATTTATAAATTAATATTACCTTTACTCTTAATTATGTTTATTAGAATTGTGTTATTTTCATTTTCTCTTAAATTTCCAGTTCTTGACATCGGATATATTGTAAATAATTAGAAACAATTTAAAAATTGACATACCTTTTCGACCAAAGAAGGCTTGCAGCTGTATATAGCTTTAAGTTATTAAAAAGTTTTGCTTTATACAGGCCAGCCATTCTTATATTTTTTATTGTAAAAATGTAAATATATTTTGTACCATTAGTGATAAGAAAATATTGCCCTTTAGAGATAGACTTATACTTAGGCGTTTTTGAGTACCTAAATAAACTTGATAAAGCCAACAATTACACCACTAAATATTTTTTAAATATTTACTTGTTTTTGTTATGAAATTTTACATGAAATTGTGTATAAATTCGAAAAGAACAATTTTGAATTCGGCTTAAAATTTGATGTACAGTTCAACCACCCTGAGCTTGAGTCCAGCAATATAGATCATATTGAACATTAAAGTACAAGTTTTAAAATGTAAAAAAATTGTATGCATTTCCCAGGAATCAAGAGGGCTAGGTTGGGCTTTATAGTATTGATTGTATCAGTTTTGTAACAAACTGATCGAATCCTTTACCGAATGTATAAGGCTTTTAAATTTCATTTCCAAATAAAATATATTATTTGTTACTGAAATGTGATTGTTTTGATCAACTCCCTTATTACCTTTTATAATTACTGATATTAATATGTCAAACAAATCGTCTGCTTTTGTGTCCAACGGAAAATGATAAAATAAAAAAATAAATAGGGGTCAAAAATTACAGGAACACTTGCCTGTTATCTCACCACAAACAGTAGCGTATTAGCGTATCATTTTTCTTTGAAAACAGCATGGTCAAGTGTCAGATTAGTAACTTATCAATACATACAAAAACCGTTAATGCATTAATGACCTTATTATTGTAGTAAACATGGCTTCTATTTATATAACAGAATGAACCGCATTTTTGACCTGTTGCTCTTGAAATTGTGTACTTACTCGATCATTGCTATTTTTGTTTGTTACGATGTAGCATGTGTACAGGGTGTCAGGAATTTGACGGCAATTGTTTTATCATGTACGGGGCTACAGCCGCTCAAGTTATTCGGAAAATTTGAGACGTATATGGTGATGATGCGAAAGGCCCATCGATGGTTTTTGCGTTTTAAAGAAGGTGATTTTAACCTTAAAGGCATGAATAGTTCCGGACACCCTGATGAAGAGCAATTGAATCGACTCCTTCACGAAATTCCAAAACAATCAACAAGAGAATTGATTCAGAAGATGGGATGTGATCACAAAACAGTATTAAACCACCCGCATTCGATTGGAAAAGTTCAAAGATTCGGCGCTTGTGTCCCACATGTTTTGAACGAAAACAATAAGAATCATCGCAATTGCGGCTGGTGTCCTCTGTCGTCATCGATCAACATCGATCTGCATCGTATTGTCACTGGTGATGAAAAATGGTGTCTATACGTGAACTTGAAACAGAGGAAAGAATGTTTGAGCCCCAAAAAACAAGCAACTAGTCGACCAAGGCCAGAACTTTATCCTCGAAAGATATTATGCCCCTGGTGGAATTGGAAAGGGGTTTTTTATTACGAACTTGTACAAACAATCAAACCATCAACGCAGAACTCTATGTCCAACAACTACGACGAGTCCACGCGGCTTATCAACAAAAAAGGCCTGATCGTTCTTTTGCAACTTGACAATGTGCGACCAGATATCGCCAGTGTGACCAAAACAGCCATTCGGGAGTTGAATTGGGAAGTTCTGCCTCATCCGCTTTTCTGTCAAACTCCTTACATGGTAACTCTTTTAATAGCGACAATGAGTTAAAAGAGCTTGTTGAACGTTGGAAGGTGGTCATAAATAACGATGGAGAATACATTGCTATTGATAATTGTAGAGTTAAAAATAAAATATATTAAATTTGAAAAAAAAAAACGGACATTACTTATTCCCCAACCCGACAGAAAAAAGTACTGATGCAAACTCGTGATATATTCATATTTCTGGAATCAGAAACACTTACAAATTTAATAAATTTAGTTTTTCATTTAAAAACAAAGTAATTTATACCTAGAATATACAAAAACCGTTCCTTTTTTCTGAAATACACTTAGAAAGTCATAAAAAAGCATATAATTTTTATATAAAAAAATGAGATAAAAGATAAAAAAGTTAAATATTGAAACCCCGTACTAGCTATAATAATTAACTTAATTTGTCTTTATTTTTCCTAAAAATAAAAATGGTTTGTGACCCATGTTGTTTGTGTACCCAATACATTTTTACTCGTTTATTAACCACACAACATATAACATATATTTTCAACATACAATACAGATGAATCATTATGTAATAAGTAAACAGAAAACAAAAAGAAAAAACCAACACTGTTGATTCTTAGAGCCATAAACATGAAAAAGAATATACGAAATAATGGTACAATGATTTTCGTTCGAATCGAATTTTTTGGGAAATTAGTTATAACTAATTCTTATATAAAAAGGGGTGTTTAAAAAAGTTTTAGATTCCATCGCACTTATTTTAATGGAAATTAAAATGACTCGATACTACACACTAATAGAAATCATAAGGAAATAATATTAAAGAAGTATTATAATAAAAGTGTATTACCCACTGTACTTAAAATTAATGATTATATTTGTTTTAAAATTTAAATATATTAAGTGAGCTTTCGTAACATTGTTACATACCTGAATATATGTTTACATGCATATAATTAAGTGGCATTTAAAGTATTTAAATTTGTAATTATATGACATTTATAAAGCTGCTGCCAAACAACTACTAACTAAATAGTAAACAATATGGCAGAAACATTCGCAAATGTTTACAGAAACCTAAATTGGAAACTTTTATTTGAAAATTTGCTGTAATAATAGTTAAATAGAATAGTTAATTCAGTAGACTGTATTTTATAATGAAAAAAGTTACATTTTTTTCACACACAAATAGTGACCAAAAATGAAATCTCGTATTCTTTGGTGAATTTTAAGGGGAGTCTTTTAAGTTTTTTAAGTTTTTATCTAGGACGCTTCTTTAAAAACAGGCTCTTCAAGCTGTTAAACATCAAAAAATATTTTTAATTTTTTTAAATAATTTAAAAATTAGTAAGTGAAATAATTTGAAATTAGGTACATGTATTTATGTAAACATTGTCCAAAATCTGAGGGCTTTTCCTAAAATTTATATGCTCCAGTGGCGGAGATACAGGGTATCGGTGACATATTTTTCTAAATAAAATAGTACGGCAGTATTGTTTACGGTAACAACCATGATATTTTCGGATTTGTCTTTCAATTTTCTACAAATTACTACTCGTTTTTCTAAAAAAGCCGGATTTATTTGAGTAAATGCTCAAAAATACCTCAATTTCCACGAACACAGGCCCGACATTTTTTTAGTAACGAAAATGCAATTTGTTCGAAATTTATTGTTGCTTGAATCTGATGAAAAGCATTATTTATTCTTTCTTCTAACTGCTCAGAATGTCAAAGTTGCTATGGCAGCCCACTATATAATTTTAAAAAGCATTGTATTCGAATATCGAAGTGTGTTCTCAGCTCCTTTTTTAAGTTTTACTCGAAAATCAGTCTTTTTTCGAAAAACATAAGAGTAGTAATTTGTAGAAAATTGAAAGACAAATCCGAAAATATTATGGTTGATACGGTAAAGCAGTGGCGTACTATTTTATTTAGAAAAATATGCCACCGATACCCTGAATCTCAGATTTTGGATAACGTTTACATAAATACATGTGCCCAATTTCAAATTATTTTACATACTAGTTTTTAAATTATTAAAGAAATTATTGAAAATAATTTTTGAAGTTCCCCATAGGTATCCCTGTATCCTTCCTGTACCTTTTTAACGAATATAAAAACTTTATAGGAAAGATCTTAAATTTCACCAAAGAATACGAGGTTTCATTTTTGGTCACCATTTGTGAATGACCCTGTATATTGCGTACTTGAAAAAATTGTTGGCATTTCGAAAATCAATCTGTTTTCATCTTCTGAATTAACAATGATTTTTGGTTTTTCATTATTTTTGACAGTTTAAATACTTCTAAACAGTTCTTTCTTCCCAGTAGGTTAGATAGATGTTCCTATCGCCATTTTTTTT